CAATGTTTTCACACAGAGGGTGGTGTGTGTATGGAATGAGCTGCCAGAGGAAGTGGTGGAGGTGGGCACAATGACAACATTTAAAAGGCATCTGGATGGGTATATGAATAGAAAGGATTTAGAGGGATATGGACCAAATGCTGGTAAATGAGACTAGGTCACATTGGGATGTCTGGTCGACGCGGATGAGTTGCACCAAAGGGTCTGTTTCCGTGCTGTACAATTCAATGACTCTGTCTGCACTTCTTTGTTTATGTAAGATTTAAGGTAATCATTGTTACATCTTTTATTCAAAAAAATCATAATGAACAAGCCTAAAAGTATTGCTGAAATGTATTTTTGTGTCTCCACATGCAAGCGAGTATTCTTATTTTACTATTTATTTGGCCCATTTCTTCCTGTATCATTCATGGTCTGACTGAAAATGGAAAAATGTTTGGGGAGAAATTAAAAGTCACCATCCTACCAAAGTAACCTCCTTCTGTGTAGCCGGAATGATCACAGAGTGTATGTCTCTGTTAAATTTGCTGAGACAATTATGTTTTAGAAAATTGGTGATGCAAGATTCCTCTTAAATATTAATATTTGTCCACTTATACAGCTGTCAGCTGTAAGTGATTTTTTCACTCTGTTTGATCTATTGAATGTTATTGGATTAAATTAAATATCAGTTTAGTGTGGCCTATTAACAATGCTGTATGCTAAGGATATAGTAGATGATGGGGTTTCCCACACTACCCCTGAAGAGTTGTTGTCATTGCAGCCAATATTGAGTGCTGTACAGCCACTTAACACTCCTGTTAATCAGGAGGGAGGACTGTTCTGATTGGCTGGCACCTCCGGGATGGTACTGAGTCGAAAGGCTATGATTGGCGGAAGAGGACAGCATCCACATGGGCCAGACCTTGTTGGGGAGATGGCGTTTGACGTAGAACAAAGGCCAATGATCGAAGCACCCCGATAACCTTCCCTGCCAGGGTTAATGCAGGATTGCCTTAAGATTGAGGCCGGGCAAGAGACAGATATGAAGGTGTCATTAATGAGCCAATTAATGGATTCAATTGTCACAAGGTGGGGCCAGGCCAGCATAGACCCCACCTGCTTCACTGTTACATTAATGAGAGGTCGGAGTTGCCTGGGAACCAGGTGGGAAGGCCATCTGAGGAATTTTACGTCCTCCCACCACCTGTAAAGATGCCATTTAAGAAACTTCGAATTCTGTCCCATGAATGTGTGCACTTTTCCCAAACCATTCCTTTAATCTGAGTGCCATTTTACAACATTTAATGTGATGATGAGGCTACCTGCCTCACTAATTGAGTTTATGACATTCTCGGAATTGGTTACAGAGCACGGTGTATCTCATTGGTGAGGGTAAAGTGTAATGGAACGTCTCTATTAGAGTAATTTATGTGTAAATAACACAAACGATCCAGTGTAACATGTCTATGTCACCGGCTGCTAATTTTATGTCACATTGAGGTACTCAGGTACTCAAAATAGTTTGTCATTCAAAGTAGTTGCTCCTTCAGATTTATTTCAGTAGCCAATTAATTGCTGTGGGCGGGTGGCAAAGCAATGAGTTAATCAGACCATAAGATCATAAGATACAGGAATACGAGTAGGCCATTCAGCCCAGCGAGTCTGCCTCACCATTCAATGAGATCAATGGCTGGTCTGATAATCCTCAACTTTACTTTCCTGCCTTTTCCCCATAAGCTTTGGTTTCCTTAGTGAATAAAAACCTGTCTATCTCAGCCTTGAATGTACTGAATGACCCAGCTGTGACAGCCCTCTGTGCTAAAGAATTCCACAGATTCATTCCCCTCTAAGAAATTCCTCCTCATCTCTGCTTAAGCAGGTGAACCGTCATTCTGAGGTGATGTCCCCTGATCCTCGACTCTCTCACAAGCGGAAACAAACTCTCCACATCTAGCCTGTCAAGTCGCTTTAAAATCTTGTGTTTCAATAAGGTCATCTCTCATTCTCCTAAATTCCAATGAGTACAGACCCAACCTGCTCAACTTCATCTTTCCTTAGATAAGATATTTCAATGGTACACCAGGTTAGCCTCTGTTTCTAGAAAGAAGTAAGAATTTAAATTTATCTGGACTTCCTGGTATCCCAAAATACTCCTAGCCTGTGGTTACTGTTGGGAAATGCAACAATCAGATTACAAAGTAATGTTCCACAAACAGTGAAAAAAGAGTGATGTATGTTCAGGTTAACTGGTTAAATTCTGTTGATTAAGAGATAAATGTTGGCTCGATCAGTGAAGGCACCTTACTACTTTTCGCTTGGAGGTGCTCTTGGGTGTTAATATTCATGGGAGAGGCTTGAAGGATTGACGGTTTAATGTCACACCATCTTTGCACAGTACTCTCTCATTCTGGATCTGAAAACAATCTCCGAATGTATTCAAATCTCTGGAATGGGCCTTCCGTCTATGATTTAATAAAAGCAGTAGCACAAAGCTAATACCTGACAAGTTAATGACTGAAGTTAAAGTGCTGGAAGATTGCAAAATGAAATTTAAAAAGCAGAAAAAAAATCCCAATAGTTGCAGTCTATTGAATTTATTATCTATAGGTGGGAACATTGCTGAAATCCAACACAGGGTAGAATAAGTGAGATCATAGAAAATGTACACATTGAGGAGAGATCTTTTATTCACTCATGGGATGTGGGTGTCGGTGGCTGGGCTAGCATTTATTGCCCATCCCTAGTTGCCCTTGAGATGGTAGAGGTGAGCTGCTTTCTTGAACCACTGCAGTTCATGTGCTGTAGGCAGACCCACAATGCCCTTAGGGAGGGAATTCCAGGATTTTAACCCAGCAACAGTGAAGGAATGGTGATATATTTCCAAGTCAAGATGGTGAGTGGCTTGGAGGGGAACTTGGAGGGGATGGTGTTCCCATATATCTGCTGCCTTTGTCCTTCTGGATGGACGTGGTCATGAGTTTGGAAGGTGCTGTCTGAGGATCTTTGATGAATTTCTGCAGTGCATCTTGTAGATAGTACACACTGCTGCTACTGAACATGGAGAGAGGGTATGTTTGTGTGTGTGATGCCAATCGAGCAGGGGCTGCCTAGTTTTCTGAAAAGTGAGCCATATCCAATCTAATGGAGCTCTTCAACAGAACTGTAGATTGAGGGCATGCCATGAACTTGACCCCAGTTACCTATTGAAGTGAGTTATCGGGCATCCTCACAAGGATAACAGGATTCTAGGTGAATGTTTCTATTCATCGAAATTTTAGTTTCTCCTAAAAGTTTAGATTACCACCACCTTCCTGGCCTTGTAGTTTACCCCACAGGGCTTCCGGTGGTGTAATGTTGGCAGCATTAATGTTGATGTTGATCTTCATATATTTACATATGCTGGGAAATTCTGTGATAATTCTTCACCTTACAAATGCTTGTGGAAAATAGTATTAGGTTTGGTTGTTGTTTTTGAATATATGAAATGTCTTGGTTTTGTTTGTTCTCCTTGGCTTGAACTCCAACTTCAAAAGCCATTTCTGTTCTCTCTGTGGGCTAACGAATTACATTTTTCAAGTAATTTCTTGTAGTATCACTTTCCTTATTTTGTCCAAACCAGCTGCGGGGAGTCTCCAGCCAGATCTTCATTCTGTACTGACGCTCTCAACTAAAGTAAATGAGCATGAATCCTCCAGGCAACATCCCCACACCATCTACCTCCCCCACCCCCCCACCCTCCCTCTCTACCCCACTCTCCTGATTGGGTTGTGTCTATCGGCGTTAGACAAACACCCATAGGAGCTCAGTGACATAAGAATTCATGGACAGTGTCTCACACTAAAATACTATGAGGCAGTTCCCCAATGCTCAGGGCCACCTTCGCTTGTTATATGCTTCAAGAGGCAATTTAAATTCATATAAATCACATGAAGGAAGTCATAGAGTCATACAGCTCAGAAACAAACCCATTGGTCCAACCAGTTCATGCTGACCATAATCCCAAACTAAACTAGTCCCACCTGCCTGCGCTTGGCCCATATCCCTCCAAACATTTCCTATTCATGTACTTAACCAAATGTCTTTTAAACGTTGTGCCTGTACCTGCATTTACCACATCCTCTGGAAATTCATTTCCACACACAAACCACTCTCTGTGGAAAAAAAATTGCCCCATATGTATTTTTTAAACATTTCTCCTCTTATCTTGAAAATATGCCCCCTAATCTTGAAATTCCCCCACCTTAGGGAAAAGATAGCTATCATTAACAATATCTATACCCCTCATGATTTTATAAACCTCTACAAGGTCATCCCTCAACCTTTATGCTCCAATGAAGAAAGGCCCAGCCTATCCAGCCTTAACTTATAACTCAAACCCTCCATTCCTGGCAACAGCCTAGTAAATCTCTTCTGGATCTTCTCTATCCTTCGTATAACAGGGCGACCAGAACTGCACACAGTACTCCAGAAGAGGCCTCACTAACATACTGTACAACCTCAACTTGACATCCCAACTCCTATACTGAAAGGACTGAGCAATGAAGACAAGCATGCTAAACATCTTCTTAACCATCCTGCCTATATGTAATGCAAACTTCAATGAATTACGTATCTGAACCACTAGGTCTCTCTGTTCTACAACACTACCCAAGGCCTTACTTTTAATTTTTTAAATCTTTCCCTTGTTTGTTTTATCAGAATGCAATACCCCTTTTATGAGTTCTGGCCATAGGCGAACATTGTAAACGCGATCAAATAACTGAGGCTTTATGATGTTGGACACTTAACTGCAGGAACTTAGGACATGAAATGTCGATAGAATAACTTACACTGATGTGCATGCCTGAGAATAGTTCCAACAGTGTGGTTTGAGGATTGAGAACTGTATAAACAACAGAAAAAACTTTTCAGAATTAGACAGGTCACATTAAGCTTTCAGTGATGCTGAGTTCACTTTGTTTGACTCTTCTGTGATTTTACCTTACTAATTATTGGATTCCGAACTCTCACCTTTACAGGACAGCTTCCCCGCACGCTTTGGAGGCATCCACTTTGTGAACCAGCCCTGGTATATCCATGCTTTATACACCATTATAAAGCCATTCCTGAAAGACAAGACCAGGAAAAGGGTAATTAACATTTCAGTCAGATGGCAAACCTGATTCAGCATGGCAATTAACAATTCATTTGCAAGTATGTTTCAGAAAATAAAACTCTGCTTACTTGAATGGGAGTGGAAGGCAAAATTAAACATAAAGGAAGCTGCAAATGGTCAGTTCACACGTGTCTATGCATCCATTCTAAATGATGGTTGCAATCAGGGTAATGAGGGAAAGACTATATTTTAACCCTCTGAATGCTACATTAATTTTTGCATTGGTACATTGCAAACTGCTGCCTGATTCAGAGGAGATTTGGGTAAAAGCTTTTTCACTCAGTGGGTGATTGGAATCTGAAATACAGTGCCTGGAAAGGTAGTGGAGGCTGGAAACCTCACAACCTCTAAAAAAATTTCTAGATGAGCACTTGAAATATCACAACATTCAGGGATATGGGACAAATGACGGAAATTGGGATTAGCGCACTTTTAGTCGTCGTTGTGTTGGTGCAGACCCAATGGGCTGAAGGGCCTTTTCTGCATTGTATGAATCTATAACTCTATCTGTGAACTGTGCCATTGTTAGTATAGTGTATACAGTCACCAAGGTGCATATGAAAGAAACTGATAGTTAACTGCCATCCTGGATATAGGCAGTGCAATTATTGGGACAAGTTTTAAACTAACTCAAAGGTGAATATGTAAATTCAGAATGTCTCGTTTCATGAAATTGATTGACTTTCCAATCAATTGTAAAGATTTCTATGTTGCGTGTGTACTGTATATTAAGAAGAAGAAATGTTTTCATTTGTAAAATGGCATGATTTCAGGTACTTTTAATGCCTGTGTTAATAATTAGGTCTTTAATTTCAAAATATTTTCAGAGTGCCAATTGGGTCTTGACACTTACTTTGTCCTTGGGTTTTGGGTAATATTGGCAAGGAGATGGTTTAGAAGGGCGAGCTATTTGTCTGCCACGTAACAGCACGACACAGAGTACAGTGTGAGGCAGGTAGCCTCTGGACCTGCGTGACCCACGTGGTTTTTACATTGATTCATCGCAGGATGTTGGAGAGATCCTGGAGGTTGTAGCCTGTGATTGTACCTCACTCCCAGGGAATCGGTGCAGTCTGCTTTGAGCTGCTGGCAGCAAACTTGTTTCTCTCTTTGACTACCCCAATCCTGCTTTCCTGAGAAAGCTGTGGTGTGGCCTCCTCCTTGATTTTCTACAGTCCCTCTGAAGATGGAGATCTCGTAATGGTTTTAGGTTGGGAATTCCAGAATACCACCTCTCTATTGACAAAGGAAGAGCAAAATCTGCATAAGTCAGGATGATGTATGATGTGCAAATAATGATCTTTCCACATCACCGCTACTCATTTATTTTAGTGATAAAGGCTTGAGGGCTGGTTGGTGTTGAGGTCACAAACTGTGTTACTGCTTTCCGTAGTTAGTATATACTGCAGACGTGTGTGCCACTTGTAGGGGGAGTGTATCTGAACCCCATGTCACTCAAATAACCCACTCTGTCCTGATGGAATTCACCTTCTGAAGTGTTCTTGGGATTGTGACCAGCTAAGTGAATGGTCAGTTCTGTTGTTTTCCTGATTTGAGCTTTGGTAATGGTGAAGAGGTTTTGAGGACTCAGAGGTAAGCTACAGAGCACCTTGCCTTTTTCCTGTAGCCCCAAGATACATTTATAACACAGATCTAGTTATATTTAGCCCAAAGGCTATTCCCACAGTAGCTTGATGGCTGGCACTGCTGTCTCACAGTGCCAGGGGCTCAGGATCAATTCCAGCCTCAGGCAACTATCTGTGTGGAGTTTGCACATTCTCCATGTGTCTGTGTGAGTTTCCTCTGGGTGCTCCAGTTTCCTCCCACAGTCCTAAGATGTGCAGGTTGGGTATATTGGCCATTTCTAAATTGCCCTAAAGTATCCAGCAACATGCAGGCTTGGTGGATCAGTCATATGAAATGGGGGGGTGAGGAGTCCTGGCTCAATGGCCTATATGACCTCTATCTGCACTGTAGGGATTCTACAATATTGATGCTGTGGTCCTCAGTTAAAGTGTTGCTATTTAAAGTTAAGCCTCAAAATTTCTTTTGTTTGCATTGGTCATTACAAGGCTCTTGCCAGCCGAATCCAGTATTGACCAGCACTGATTACTTCATGACCAGAGGGATTGTGAATGGAGCTGAACTCTATGGAATGGTTGGTCACCAAGCTCTAATTCTCCTGGATCGAAAGCCAGTGATGAATCAGCCAATGATTGTTAGGTGGAGGACAATTCCCTGAGGGGAGTTGTAGCACAGTGGTACTATCCCGCACTCTGGACCAGAAGGCCTGGGTTCAAGGCCCACTTATCCTTGACATCTGATGTAAATTCCCTGAACAGATTGGTTTAAAAATAAAACAAATTCCCTGAGGATGCCCTTTAAGCTTGCCTTGGGCTGTAATGTCTGACAAAAATGATCATCCTTAATTGGACAGTACGGCCTGTGATAGCCCTGGAGCAATTCTTCCTGTCTCCAGTTAATTCACTGGTGTTATTGCAGCCTGCCACTCCTTCAGTAGGTAAGAGAGAAAATATTCAGGTGGTTACAGTATACAATATGTTTCAGCAGCATGTACAAGAAATATCAATGGAAACCCTCCTCAAAACCTGCCAATGACCACTTCTACTGTTCATCAAAAAATAAGGTATCACCTCTGAGATATTCTAAATTCTAAATAATTATTATTGATTGAAAAATGTCTTGACAAATCATGCTTAATTCATCCATATAACTGCATCACCAATCAGACTAACAATGCTCACATATTGCAGTGTAAATCAGATTCTGATTCTATGCTTTAATGTGGAGTCAGTCTGTGCCCTTTATCTGGGTTTGTAGCACCTCTTCCAAATATGTGAAGTGAAAACACTTTTCAACAGTGCCACAGTTATGGTGTGACCTAGCTTAAAATTGTTAGTTTAAAACTTGTGTTTTGTGTTGAATTGGCTGTGTCTTTTGCAAAGCTACTGAAGTAAAAGCAGAGTTATGGTAAATTTCTGAGCCACAATACTTACATTTTCATCAAAAAAGCAAAACATTGCTTATTAATGTTGTAAATCTGATTGGAAAGAGCATTTGCGGGAAATACTCAGCAGATCGGATAGAATTTATACATAGATCGCTCTAAGATTTTACAAGATTGCATATGTCACCATCAAAAAATATCTAAAGGCAGGGAAACGCAATCTGTCACCCAGATTTATGAGCTAACAAAGCTATTACTGTAAAATAAAAGCAAAGAACTGCAGATGATAGAGATGTGAAAGAAAAGCAGAAAGTGCTAGAAAAACCCAGCAAATCTGGTCATGTCTGTAGAGAAACAGAGTTAATGTTTGAGTCCAGTAACCTTTTGTCAGTTCTGAATAGTTTTCTCTGCACAGATGCTGCCAGACCTGCTGAGTTTCACCAGCAATTTCTGTATTTGTGAAAGCAATTACTGTATTTATTTTGAGCCACCAGGTGTCACCATTGTGCCTGATGACAATGTGTGATTGACAACTACTGAAATTAATTGTTCATTAAATTGGTTGTATGAATTAGGATTTTGATGAATTCATGTTAGCTCTTAATCCCTGGATTTAACGTTTAGATGAGTGAAAATGTTGAAACTGTAGCCAACCAACCATCAACAATAAATGCCGTTGGCCAGAAAAGTGAACCCAATAATAGACTGTATTTATGTTGACTATGTGTGATAGTGTGTCTTCATCAGTTCTGCCTGTGAACTGTCTAATAGTTTCATCTCTAGCAAGGTAGTGCAGCTAAGCCTGCACTGTTACCTTTTCATACTAAACTTCTTTTGAACTGTTAAACTCTTCATTTTCAGAATTAAAGAATTGTAACAGCTCAGAAGGAAAGTATTTAGCACATGGTATCTGTGACAGCTCACCTAGTGCCATTCTCTTGCCTTCTTCTCATAATCCTGCACATTGCTCCCTTGCAATCATCTCATTACATTTTGAATACCTCAACTGAACCTGCCTCTACCACACTCTCAGGCAACGTATTCCAGACCCGAGTCACCTACTGCATGGAACCGTTACTCCTTATCTCATTTTTATGTCTTTTCCTAATTACTTTAAATGCCTTCTTGTTCTCAGTCCTTTCACGAGTGGGAACACTTTCTCCCTATTTTCTCTGACCACACCTCTTGTGATTTTGAATACTTCAGTAAGATCTCCTCTTAGTCTCCCCTTCTCCAAGGAGAACAGTCCCACCTTCTCCAAAACTGTCATTACAGCAGAAATTCCTCATCCCTGAAGCCATTCTCTTCTGCATTCTTTCCAATGTCTTCACATGTCCTTGACATGTGGTGCCCATGGGCTCAATACTCTAGCTGAGGCTGAGCTAGTCTCTTATTTAAATTCACAATAATGCCCTGTTAACAAACTGAGCATTGCTAATAAAAAGGAAAAAGATCATAATTTAAATAATTAGTCAGTGTTTTGGAAATGATTAGGGAAAGTAACTACAGTCATGTTAGATTATTATTTTTATTCTGAAATATATTGCAGTCTTCAGAAAGTGACATCCATTTATTATCACTTGTAAACATCTGTAAATTAAACTTCAATTGTAAGCCAATTTTAGGCAGTTCTTTCTGAAAGTTCACTGCAATTCTTGCACTAGAAATGAAACTGGTCATCGCTCGTGCTATAACTTTTGCAATGCCCTGACTTCTTTTTCCAATGAAAGCATTGCTTAAAAGTCTAAAAGGTTTTTCAGGTGATTAACATAAGTCACTTAAGTGCTACATTGCATTGATATGTAGATGAATAAAAGGATAGAACCAGATGTCAGCATGTGGAACGGAGGAAGAGGCTGGACTGTCTCCATGGGTAATTGAACAAAGATGGTATAGTGATTGGAACCAGGTGGATATTATTGACTATGAGATCCCTGATTGGGATTGTTAATCTGGGGCAGTTAGGGAGCCCTGGCTGACAGATATAAACAGGAGATTCAGGGACTGACTCTGAGCTGGTTGATCACAGCCAGTGTGCTGTGCATATGCAAATAAAAGGTGACTTGGTGAAGGGATACCAGCCTTTGTGCAGTTATTTCAGATGGGCTAATTGGATTTGTCCCCTTGTAATTGGTTTTCAATTTTGTGATAAATATTGTGCATTTGAGAATTGCAATATTTTAAATCAAACATTTTAATGCCAGTGGCAGGTTAAATATTCCCTCTGCTTTGAGCCATTCCCATTCTGAACATCAATTTTGGCTGAGTGTCTGAAAAGTTATTAAGAAGCTGAATTTGTCTTGTAAAGGGTTTCACAGCCAGCATGATGATATCATAAACCCATAGAGAACTGAAGCCACATATTACAGATTACATTGCTAAACCACTGTTTTATTATTTTACCTCAGCACCAGTGACTTGTACATATCTATATTTTTTTCAAACAAAACTATTTGTGCATTCTATAAAGGTTGATTATGTGGTAACACCGTGCGGAGTTGGAGGAACACAGCAGGTCTGGCAGCATTAGAGGAGCAGGAAAGTTGACGTTTCGGGTCGGAACCCTTCTTCAGAAATGGGCTGCAGAAATGCCTCCAGATCCACACTGTGTTATCTCTGACTCCAGCATCTGCAGTTCTTACTATCTCTAAGATTGAATATGTAGTGTTTTGTGATCTTAATTGAAGTAAAGTATCATTAAATGGACAGTTTAGTTTTTCTATCATAGATAAAATTCAGTCTAACACTATTGATTTGCATTGATTGCATATGTGATTGTGTTTTACATAATCTTTTATTTTGTTTTCAGATCTTTCTCCATGGTAACAATTTAAACAATTTGCATCAGCTGATCCATCCAGAATACCTGCCATCTGAGTTTGGGGGCACGCTGCCCCCCTATGACATGGGGACTTGGGCTCGAACATTGCTTGGTCCAGAGTATAATGATGACACTGAATATCCTTACAATTACTACAGTTCAATGCTGGATAATCATGATAGCGATTGTTCTCCCAAGCACATGAAGAGGTTTGTGCAGTCTAATTATTCTACTGGATTCCCACTGCAGCTTTCAAAATCTGCTCATATTTCTGTTGTCTTGTAATGCATTTTATAATAATGTCAAATTAAAATCACCCGTTAGGTTAGTAGGCAGATGGACCATGCCTTGTGGTGCTGAGGCAGACAGAGCCAGTCTGTATGCACAGGTCTGATCTCAGCTAGGCTCATCTGTATGGCCTGAGCATCCATTGACCAGAAAGAGGCAAATCATCAGCTGAGCATTTCCTGCTGGAGGGTGAATAAGTATGGGTGGGATATGCCTAAAAGCCTGTAGTTAAATCACCCCTCGACATTTGTCTGAGGCTAAAACCTTAAACATGGTCACTTAGAAATTTGCCAGAAGCTAGCCCACTTCCCTGACCTGTGTCCCAGTGTAGTCTAACCTCTGTCAGGAGAGAACATGAAAATACAATCAATTAATAAGGAATTTGAAATGAGCCCTGGAATTCAGGATTTATTAAATTAAATCAGTTTTGTTGTATTCAACAGTACTAATTTCCAAAGTGACTGTGAAATCATGATCTGAATCTGTGTTAGTAATACCAGCTGCAATTAACTTGAGAGCCTGGGTGTTTCATGCAGTCTTAGATCCTGAATCAGTTTGGCATCATGTACAAGGCAAACTCACCTGTAATTCTTAGGGAGTAACTTTGACTTCACTTTCATACCAAGTCCAAATTTGTCTGTTATTGTGGAACTATTCCTTATCTCTGTTGGGGGTCTTGCTATGCCATTGACTGAGATCAGAAAATGAGTCTGGAAAATGTTGACAGGGTTGGGTTTGCCTGACATTCAATGAGCTAACATCTGAGGCAGTGGTACACTGTGTCACTGCACTGGCCTTTATGTTTCATTGTCATGAATTGCAAGGAGGTAGATCCATTTCATTATCCTATCATCAATTACATCACTATACTCAATTTAGTCTGCATTTTGTGACTGGATGATGAACGCTCTTTAAGGGATAATTTTTCACCACTGTGTTCCAAAACTTTCAGCCTATTGATCACTGCATACAAGTCATCAAAAATAATGTTTTATTTTAAATCACATGGGCAACTCACACCAGGTTTCTCCATGGTGCTCATCACCAAGGGTATCTCTGATGGAAGAACTACTGATCATCTATATCACTGCCACTTTCCTGCATACCCTTTGATGTCATGATCCATGTATCAAACAATTTCTGTTTTGAACATGTTCAATAACTGATCTTTCCCTGTGACCCTCTGGGTTAGAGACTCAAAATGGTTCACCATCCTCTGAGTGAAGAAATTTCTTCTCATCTCAGTTTTAAATATCTGGTCTCTCACATGGAGGCTTGACCATGATCCAACATGTTAGATTTCAGAAGAAGAAAGATGTCATACACAATTGTGCTGTTAAATTATTCAGCCAGTTTATTCAAATTCTATCAGGGAACTTATGTTCTGAAGGCAGACTGCACAGGAATTTGAACATTAGATTTGGTATGAGTTACTGTGAGGCCACCTGGAAAGAGAAATGTCTGGCATCTGTTCGACTAGCTTTTGTTGATATAGTTACCAGATGACTTCATTATGAATGCTTGCCTGAACTCCAAAGATCGATTAAGTACTTAGCTAAGCAGGCAATGTTGACAAAGGAGAGCTGAAGCTTTATTTTATTGATATCTTTTCAACCTTTTACTAAGTTATTTTAACAATAGTGTTTTTCAATTTCAATATTTTTTAAACAAAGATTAAGAGGTGTGAAATGGCTAATAGTTTTTGTCATTGACACCATAAATAGCTATGGGTGATTGGTACTTCTCTGAAGTTATTAGCTGAGCGGCTTTTTCATGCTGATTGTCAAATTCTTTTTACTTATCGTCAGTTTCATGAACATTTCAAAAACTTACCACAATTAGCAATGATTCATTGATTCTGCACATTGTGCATACTTGGGAGAATGACACGTGGACATTAGGGAAAGGGAATGGGGAATACAAGGAGTATGAGAGGGCATGGGAGATACCAGGAACATCGAGGGACCATGGGGATATGAGAGCTTGGAGGGGATTTGGGAGCAATGGGACATGGGAAATGTACATGGGAAGAATGCGATACGTGGAAGAGGCTTGGGAAATAGGGGAAGTATGGAAAGGGAATAGTAGATAAGGGCAGAATGACAGTTTTGAGGAACATGAAGGGGCAAGGGGCGGTAGGTGAGGGCTAGATTGTGATTGACAGCAAACAAGCAAAAATATAACAAATACGGATCCCACGACTTTCTCAACAATTCTCCAGATGTATTAATTAATTGAATGGATGTCCCAGTAAATTGTTGTTGGTTTTGCAGGCTGCAGCCTCACCATCCAGCTGCCTCCATTGTACCCGGAGGAGCTGGGCCCAAATCTATCCCGGCCATGCCTCGCCCAGAGGTCTTCTACATGGAGGCAGGTTGGTGGAGGTGGGAACTTTCCTGACACAGCCTCCCAGCATCCTCATGGAAATTCAGCTCTTATTTTCATCACACATTTGAGCATATTTTAAGAAAGGTTTCAGCTTGCAGGCTATATTGATATTTTTTTCTGAAACATGAAAATGAAGACTTTACTTCAATGTTACTAATACTATCGTTAGCTATGTTACAGATGTAATAGCAGTTTCTAACTGAAATAACTCCACAGAGGCTGGTATCCCATCACCAAATGGCCCTTTATTTACACATAAACAGTCCTTGACTTTACTACTGCTTTATTCAGAGTCAGCTACCAGAGTCCAGTTTCTCTGACGTTCCCCTTTTTATCTGTCAGCCAGGGCTCCCTGATTGGACTAGATTAACAGCCCCAATCTGGGAACTCATATCCTGAGGTCCACCTGGCTGACCTTGTTACAATCACTAGACTAACATTAGCATTACTGGATCACTGCGCAGTTCATTTAATAGGAGAGAGGTACCAATCACGTTATTTAAACTGGGATCTTCCTCACTGGAGTTGGTTCACATGATTAGCTGCAAAGATGATACGTTGGCGTGTGTTTCTCAGTGCATTGTTTTCCTTCTTTGCATGTGGCAATTTTTCCACTTGTGTTTGTCCCACGTAAATGAGGTGCCCTCCCACAGACTTCACAATGACAGTACCAGGGAGTTACCTGAGGAGCTTCTCTCTGATATGTCACAGAGAAGTGTCAATGGACTGGGGAAAGGCAAAAACTATTCACTTTTTTTTTAGATTACAGATCACTGCCTTTGATGACCGCAGTGGGTGATATTTTAGAGGTTCTCATTAAGAATTAGATCATGGAGCAGATGGATTGAAATACAGTTTTGAAGAATGGCAAGTACTGATTCATGAAGGAGAGTTCTTGTCAATCTAAGTTAGTTACTTTCTTTGAAGGTATAACAAAAGAGCTTGTCAAGTCAATGAATATGTTGAAGTTGGATTTCAGTGTGGTCTTTGATCCAGTTCCTCCTGGAATTGATCCATAATCAATATGCGATTGTGTGGCTGTTAGAGGTAATTATACAGAGATTGTCTTCAACCCAGGCAAATGTTACACTTAGATTCCCGCTGAGGTCTGTTTGTGGACTGCTTTTGTTCAGTGATCTCCAGATTAATGTGGAGTGAGGACTCACAATCTCATTAGCTAAACTTGCAGGCGATACAAAGTTGATGAAGGTGGTGGACTCCAAAACTCAAAGAGGATAAGAGCTACAAGAGGATTTGGGTATCTCTGGAAATTGCTTACGTGGGTAATTAGGTGGCAAATGAAATTTAATGTAAATAAAAATCAAAGTGCGTTTGATGGGGCCAAAAAAAATCTCCCGAAAGAGTCTGTTGTTTAAATGTATAAAATATACACAGGAAATGATTGAGATTTGGAGGTCGTGGTTGACTATAATTGGAGGCACCACAACAAAGCTGGATGGAATGAAATCAGTAAATCAGCCATTACAGCCTGTTATTAGCTCTATAGTGAGCTAATCTGCCATTTCCTACATAATTCGTACAAGGATCTGTGGAACACTGAGCACAGATGGGGCTACTGAAGTACAAAACAGATTATTGGAAAGACTAAAAGGCAATAGAAAAGAATAGCAGGAATGATTGAGAAGATGGATGGATTGCAATCTGAAAAGCAGCTGGTTCTCATTGGAAAAGAAAAGAGGAAGAGGTAGCATAACCATTAATTTTAAAATTCTAAAGGAGAACATGCAAGATAGGTTTTGAGAAGCAGTTTCGACTTGTCTAGGGAAGACAAGGTGTTGCTGGCTGGGCCAGCACTTATGGCACATCCCTAATTGCCCCTTGAGCTCAGTATATTACTAGGGTCATTTCAGATAGCAATCAAGAGTCAACCACATTGATGTGGGTTTGGAATTACGTAAAGGCCAGATCAGGTAAGGACAGACAGACAGACAGATTTCCTTCCCTAAACAATGTTAGTGAATTAAGTGTCTTTTTTAAAACTTCATTTTATATGGTTGCCATTGGCTGTATTTAATTCCAGATTTTAATTGAATTCAGATGTTACACCTACCCTGGTGGGAGGTAGTCAGTGTCCCAGAGCATTAATCTGGATCTCTGAGTTACAAGCCCACTGGCAGTACCACTTTGACACCACCTCTGCAAGATCCATCGACCATCATTGTTGTACTATGGGATGGAAGGTGAACTAGCCTTGATGGATCTTGGTGGTTGAAGGCCTATCAAAACTTCTCTTCTGTGGTGATACTTTGCTTGTGTATATAACTCCATTGTCTGAGCATAGCAACTACAATTTGTATTTATATGTCACCCTTTAACACAGTGTAATGTCCCAAGGCACTTTACAGGAACATTATCAAACAAACTTGTCACATAAGATAGTACCTGGTTCTGCACCTTAAGTGCTATAAGGTGCAGGGTAATGGGGCCATGTGCAGGAAGGTGGGATAAGAAATGGCATCTGTCCAAGATGGATGATTGACTGCTTTCTATGCTTTATCATTTCCGTGGTTCT